GTGCGATAGACTTACCTCCACGTGATGCACCCTGGGCAACGTATATTCATACGGCAAAAAAGTCTATTAACTGGCAGTTGACTTCTCATTTCAAACTACCATCACCTCACTCTATGCCATATTCGACTATTTCAACAGTACTCACCTCACCTTTTTTCTACCATTGAGTTTGTCTCTTACATCTTTGAAGCACTCTTCTGTTCCCCCTCTCGACTTTTTCTCAATTTGATGTTCCTTCCCCCCTGTGAAGTCTGAAGTCAACTAAAGGGCTAATGATAACCATCAAGACGCCTGCCATTTGATATAAATAATAAATCAATGTGAAGTTGCATCGTGAACAATATACCTTCTTAAGGTGATAAATGAGCCAGTATCACGGGCTTTTAACAACTGAATTGAATTGACAAGGAGAACTTTGCGAGTAAAATGTACTATTACTAATCTGAAACGGCACTTTGTGGGTAGGCAAAAAAACACACACTCATCCTAAAATTTTTCCCTGACCTCCGCGTGTTAAGAAAGACGTTGACGTACCGTCTGATGTATAACGCTGTGAAGTGTTTGTCAATTATGCATAAGTTAGTTTCACTTTGAACCAATTTGCGTCATTGGTATAAATTTAAACCGTAGAAATTTAACATCAACAATATTATACTGGAATTTTGTCAGGTACCACAGTACAAGTACTGGCATGAAAAATAGTACTGCAGAATTATGCTACTTTGAGCATGGTCTACTGCAATGCCAACATCTGCGAACGTCCAGTCGCCACAACACAGAGAGCAGAAGAGGAGATGCTGAATTTCAACCCGAGTCTTAAAGAGTTCGAAACGATAGTGAGTTGCCGACTTCCTTCTCGTCTTCTGCGTGAGCAGTTTCAAATGTTGTTTCCTTTGATATTGAATATTAACCAATAAAAGGTCTTTGAAAAAGTGAGTAGATGCCTTTTTGGAATAAAGTAATGAAGTAAGAAGTAATTCGAGCGTCATGCTGCATATACCTGTACTCATATTAAACGCAGTGCACTTCGCTTTTGAGGTGCCTTTTCAAAGTAAATATGAACTGTGTCACCAATATTTCTCATGCTTGCATGAGTTATGCCTAAATAAAACGATGTTTAGCTTTGATTTATCATGCGCATCTCTACCCTACGAGTCAGCACACCAAAGCATAATTATTGAATCATACTTATTGATTATCTTATTAGAACTCAAAGTATTGTGTACGTATGGCTTCTAGACTTTCATTGAAATTGCTTTCACTGTTTAAGCGGAGATGTGAAACTATTATTGATTTGTTTATTTCCGCTTTGTACCTGCAGCAGTAGACAACATCTTCCCCTTGATTTCAGAATGCTTAGTTAAGTGTATAGACAGCGACAACAATTCGATAGATAGAGAGGGAGAGGAACAAGAGTGCGCATGGAACGTAGAAACACTGAGGTGAAGATAGCATAGGCAGGTTTACTAATTAATTTCAAGGTCGAGACGAGTTAAAATCGAAAAATGGATATGCATCGGGTTCGCATGGGACACAGAAGAGTAGAATGTACTGGTTGCTCCTGATAAACGAAAGTACTCTAACCTAAAATGAATTTCATCTAAGTCCAGTTACTCGTCAATTGTGTGGAGCACATGAATCAGCCAATATAATGCCTTGTTTTTAAGTACCAGTTCACTATTGTTACCTTGAATGCCTTTTGACATGTTTCCATCTTTATATTGTAATATTCACATTCTGGAAACAATTTTACTTAATTCACTTAAGTAGCGATGGTTTGGAACAATCATGCAAAAGTTCTCTGCCGGTTGAGGGTAAAATGTCAAGAAATATTTGCTTTGGCCATATTTCATCTTCACGCACTTGTTACATTCGCCGAATGGATTATTGCCCGAGAAAATTCACCGATGTTTGAGTACTGGTTGGTACAAACTTCTGAATAAATATTTGCTTGAAGACAATTCCTGAGAAGCACAAACAACATTTCCATTTCATGTTGCCAATACTTTCTGTAAAAGGGGTGTACGATAGACTTACCTCCACGTGGTGCACCCTGGGCAACGTATGCTCATACGGCCAAAAAGTATATTAACTGGCAGTTGACTTCTGACTTCAAATTACCACCACCCCAATCTGTGGCATATTCCACTACTTCCACATTACTAACCTCACCTTTTTTCTACCTTTGTGTCTGTCTGTCTCTTTACCTACCTTTTCTCTGCCTTTGTGTCTGTCTGTCTCTTTTACCAAGACCCCACCGCATTTCATATTCGACTAAGTAAACAGTACTCACCTTTTTTCTACCTTTGTGTCTGCCTGTCTCTTTTATCCCTTTTTCTCTACCTTTGTGTCTGTCTGCCTCTTTTTCTCATATTGCCTTTTCTCTGCCTTTGTGTCTGTCTGTCTCTTTTACATACTTTTTTCTACCTTTGTGTCTGTCTGTCTCTTTTACATCTTTGAAACACTTTTCTATTACCCCCTCCCCCCTCAACTTTTCTTCACTTTGATGTTCCTCCCCTCTGTGAAGTCCGAAGTCAGCTAAAGGGCTAATGATAACTATCAAAACGCTGCCATTTGATATAAATAAATAAACAAATAATACTTTCTGTAAAATGACCTTGAGGTTCCTTCCTAGACATCACTCCACGCAGAGCTGTAGCATTGAAAATGTAATTATTAAACCCCTTCCTTTCAAACCATTGGTGATGTTTCCAAGCGATTTGAACACCATGAGAGTAGCATGGTGTTTGAAGGAAAAAAAACAAATACTGAAATTAAAGAGTCAAATTTATCCAAATAGGCACTCAGCAATAAGGGTGGAGATAATCATGAAACTTTAATTTGATAATGAGAAACAGTGAGCGGATCGAATACAACCTGAATAAGAAAAAAAATGCCATTGAAGCATGATGATAACTAGGCATCTAGATGTTGACTTCTTCTTTTAAATATTGGTCATCACCAATGAAAAAAAAACAAGGGAAATGTCTGGTTGAAGGAAGACCAAATGAAATTAGGCAGTGTTGAGAATTGCGTATTTACATAGTTTAGTTCGAGAAACAGGGGTATGCGATAGTCTTACCTCCACGTGGTGCACCCTGGGCAACGTATACTCATACGGCAAAAAAGTCTATTAACCGGCAGTTGACTTTTGACTTCAAACTACCATGACCCCATTGTATGTCTTATTCGACCAATTCCACAGTACTACATCACATTTTTTCTAAATTTTCAACCTTCGTCTTTGAAACACTCTTCACTTCCCCTCCTCTCGACTTTTTTCCACTTTGATGTTCCTTCCCCTCTGTGAAGCCTGAAGTCAACTAAAGGGCTAATGATAACCATCAAAACGCCTGCCATTTAATATAAATAAATAAATAAGTTCGAGAAACAAGTTAAAATATTGGTGGAGGGTATACAGCAGACGTTCAGAATTCAACTGGCGACCAAAGAAGATCTCGAACAGAAAGTCACCATAAATACGGCAGAAGGGGCATCAAAAATCCGGAATTGGTTGCTTAGCAGATGAAGACCACCTCGACGGAGGGGCTGGAGGTTCAACGTGGATTGTCGACAGGTGGAGAGCAAGCATTTGCTTTGATGCTCTTCATTTTCGACATCTTTCGGCTCTCCCACCCCCATCACTTCAACCGTTTCTTGCGATAGAATAGCAAAATTCTATGCTCTCGTAATTCATCTTTACTGAGGTGCCAACATCGTATCCAACCCAATTTTTCAGGAAGTTAAAATAATGAGCGACTTAGCCATCTTCACGCCCCCCTGTGAGTCTTTATTTTCAGAACAATTAGGTAAGTTATAGTTCACATAAACTGTATTTACAAAATACTAACCGAATTTTTAAACCGCGTTGCCATAAGTTTGCAAACTGCCTCTTGCAACAATTCATTCTATATAGAAGGACTTCCGACATTTTCCTGATCAATACTATCAAATTGAATGGGAAAAAAGTGACAGGACCCGAATGTTACTACATATTTCGTAATTTTATTAATAACTAAGCCATCAGAAATAGCACATAATTTCAGAAACACAGTACGAGAGTAAAAGGTGTAGAGCAGCAGACATTCGCAAAGGAAAAACCGAAGCCGAAAGAGGTGAATGGACAAGGAGTAGGAGATGTAAAGAAGTGGAGATTTAACAAAGGGGGTATTATCGAAATACACACATACGCACGCACACACACACACACACACACACACACACACACACACACCCACACACACACTCATGTATATGCATAATTTTGTAAGGCGTGGAGAGGGAGAGAGAGAGAGAGAGGGGGAGGAGAGAGAAATAAAGTGCGTGAACGAATTCTTTCCAACGGATTTAACACATCTCGACAGCAGCAAAAGGAATGCAAACTTGGAAAAAAGTGTTAAACTTCTTTGCAAACGAAAAAAGGTAGAATCTAAGGTGTGGTAATACAACTCGAAAGGGTTGGGAGAGAACAAGAGGATGTTTTGATCATGTTGCCCCCCACAGCTCCTCAGTGCTGTTGTGCATCTACAGAAATGGAAAAAAATAGTAAAGGTGAGAAATTATTGCAGCTATTCCCATTATTTCGTTAGCAGTGCTGCAACTATGTTAGTGGTAGGCAGGTTAAGAAATGATTGCATTTCGTTTATTGAGGGTATTAACACCAGTGCGCGCGTTAGTGCTTCCAAAACCATCGAGCTAACCCAACATCCAACTAAGGCAAAAATTAGGCCGAGGGTTACGGAAGTTAGTTGCCATGGCTCTATTTAACTACATGCACGAATGGGGAGGGGGGAGGATTGCAGCCCGAAGAAGAGAAAGTGTGGGTGTGGGCAAGTGTTAAGGAAGGGTACCCATACCAGTGCTTTTTTCAATCGATGTAGAAGAAAGCATCGATATAGAATCAGTCCCACCGCCAAGAAGAATTGATGGACCCAAGGATCGGGACAAGCTCGATGTATCAACTCCCTCCTCCCCCTCTTCGACAGTTCGCATATCTCCTATCACTGCCTCAACCAACGATCGATCACCTTCCAGTCCCTCCATCAACTGCTTTTCTAGCTCATCTGAAATACTCTCCTGTTCCTCCAATCGGAGAAACTCATTAAGCGAAGAAGAGCCGAAACTGGATGGGCTATTTGGATATCTGGCTTGATTAATCTCCGTTAGTAAATCCAGACCATTAGTCTCCAAGGAGGATCGCAGAGAACTTGGAGGACGGATGGGAACCGGTTGAGTTTCTCGAGTCCACCTATTGACAGATCGAGAAATACTACCGTTTGAACTACCAATAGGACCAGTCGCCGCCGTGCTTGCAATAGATGACCGCAAAGAAAACTCTTGGGACATCTCAGGGATTGGAGTTAGAGGAAGGTTATTGTTAACAGAGGAGGTAAAATTCAGAGACTGAGAAGTAATGCAGGGAGGTACAGAGAAGGGATCGATTATTGGTTGCTCCGCTAGTGGATTGGCTACGTATAAAGGGACGGAAAGGAGTTCCTTGAATGATGTAGTAGGACTTTGGGCTGATCGTTGGGGCCTGAGGGTTGCTACACAACAGCGACACATGGCATACGTACAATCATGTTAAAAACCACAACTACTGAAATGACATTTAAGTAAAACTAAAAAACAGATTAGCACCTCAAACACATTCAAACACACAGTGGCTATTTAGTTGCCCGAGTAGCAATAGTGAAGGCAGGTGGAAATGAGCTAGATGTGCGTGCACGTGAAGAAATCGGTCAGAAACGTTTTGGGTGAGAATTGACTGAGCGTGTGCGCATTTAAGTTAGTCGGAAATCACCCATCTCACCAATGCTAGCCAATGTTGAAGTACTACTTCTCAAAGAAGTTGTCCTCTGAGGAGGTTCGGGAGGCACCATCTCACTTCCCTCCTCTTCCTCTGTCTTTTTTCGAACACGTCTTTCAGCACGACTTCGATTAGCACCCGACCGTCTCAGTTTAAAGTGTCCATCGAGTAAAGTCTGCTGTCTGCACTCCGTGGTTACTCGGCAAACACCAGGGCCTATCAGAGGACCATCTCCAAGACATGCAGTAGCATGCAAAGGCACAGGAATCATCATTTCAGTGTCCTGTTTAACCTTTGGTGAATTTGTATCATCAATAGTCTGGCGAATTAAAACAAACTCTCCCGAGATTATGGGATCATCGTCATTACCACTAGGTAGTAAGTTAGAACCATCTTGAGTCTCGAAATCGGCACGAAATGTCTCCGTTGACGCAGCAGGAGAAACTTGGAGATCTTTGAGGTGAGGAGGAATCTGTGGAGGTGGTGATGGAGGTCGAAAGAGTGGATCGATATTTGCTCGTGTAATAGACAGATGCGTGCATGATGAAGCTGGAGAATATGGGGCTGGAGGTAGAGAAGGCACAGAATGGTTGGATTGGCTATCACGTCTAGCTGGTTGTTCTGGAGGAGGAGGAGAAGAGGGAGGTGAAGATGGAAACTCCTGGGACGCCGTCGTCAGATTTTGCTGATCCTCTTTTAGTGAAGATCCTGGCAATACCTCTATCACACTGTTGTCCTCCTCCAGCAAAGCGATTCGCGTCTTTTTGAACATTGGTGATGATGGAGTTGGCTGTGCTTGTGGTGGTGGTGATGGTGAGATTTGGTGTGAGCCGACTAATTTTAATACACACACACACATACATGTATACATATTTCAATAGAGGCAATTATTCATGCTCGCATTCAAACACACATGTTCATTCTTGAATGATAGCACTTATTCAGTGTCAGCTAAATCCACTTAGCTGAACTACTACTACTACTACTACTACTACTACCTAACCTCATCTTAAGTAATGCAAAGTGGTATATAAAAGAGCGATACATGATTCATAAGCTTAGATGTAAATAATTAACTCAAAATACGTAGTCATTAAAAGGGCAAGCTAGAAACATGCTTAAGTAAGAATACATATGTACTGAGAAATGGAAAAGCGAAAATTAGTGGTTTCAGTAAGATTAAAAACTCCGGAATGTCACAAATAAAGTCCTGCAAGTCTTTAAACTAAAACTTAAATCGAGAAGATAAAAAGATGAAAATTTTCGGCTAAGCTGTTCTCTGTCTGTGTTTCCTCTCTCTCTATTTGTGCAGTTCCTTTGGTTTATCCCCTGTCTTTTCCCGTTCTCTCAATCTCTCAACAGCCCTTGACGCGATTTCGGGAGCATCAGTCTCAAGAGTTGATTGTCTGGGAGATTGTGGTCGACCCCACGTGGCCTCATTAACACCACACATTGGATAGGCTACTGGTGTGATGACGAAATCGTTGTCGTCAAAATTCTCTGTTACCACTGATTGCCTAGGAGAGTGACGGGGGGATTGAGGTTTACCCCATGTAGCTTCGTTCCAACCACACAGAGGGTATGATGTTGGTATGATGATGGATTCATCAACAACATCATTATTCTTCGCCTCCAGCAACATGGAACGCTGCTCTTTTGGGGAATGACGGGGTGATTGAGGTTTACCCCATGTAGCCTCATTCCAACCACAAAGAGGTTGAACCACCGGATGAATTATGCATTCATCATCCACAATACTTGAGTTAGCTGATCTCTCGCCATCTTCAGGCTTTGAATGGACACTAATAGACCGCCTATTGTAGACTTCTGGAATTATTAAGTTTTCCATCGCAACTGTGCTAGAGTTTCTTTGTTGTTTGGGGCAAAAGATAGGGGAATTTCTATCCGATTTCTCCATTTCTTTTTGTTGTTGTTGTTGTTGTTGTTGAGTAGATGCAATCATGATATCAACATCGGACGTTGAGACAGCGCTCTTCTCCAGTCGTTGCTCTTTGACCATTGAAACTGGTCTTGGTCTTGATTCTTCCAGGTTATATGTCATCGAGAATATACCTGAAATGAGAAAGAAAAGTCCATCATCAAGCATTCTTTTGAACGAGGAATATGCTAATTTATCTTATACGCAGTAAATGAGAAGAGACATAACCCATACTGACAGCCCCTGATGCTTAGCAAATTAACCACGAATCCCATTTTCCTGATAGTTCCAGAACTTAGAATAAATGATGCTGCTATGCTAAAATGCCATATGCTGTTGTTGCGGTTATGATAGATAGACAGATAAGAGGGGGGGGGGGAGAGGGGATGCCGTAAAAACGCTAGTTAGATGTTATTGTGTTTACTATCCCATATAAAATGATCATTTCCGCAAAATGAATAAATAAGAGGGGAGGGGAGGGGAGGGGAGGGGAGGGGGGAGGGTCACGCAAACAGCAAGTAGATCCAGCTAACCATCATCTACCACTCTGTTGACGAGCAATCTACATAGAGGTGCAAAAATAGAGGCAATTCAACAATTAGCAAAGAACTTGAAAAAAAATAGCATGTCAAAGGAGGTGTTAGAAGGTGGGTAATAAATTACCTCCATAAAATAGGCGTGGGGTCGAGCAGGTTGGCTTGTGCATTGTTGTTGGCAGTGGATGCGTAGAGATGACAATGATAGAGGGAGAGAGAGAGGAATGAGAGAAAATGGGGACGAACGAGACGCGCATATTCATTTTCAGCAAGTGCACAGTTACAGGGTATGCTTCGCATTCAACTCACGGACAAGTACAGAATAGAAGAAAAATAGGAGCAAAATAGAAATAAAAAACTACCACTAGTACTACTTATTAGAAAAAGGCAGTAGGTACACTAAAGTGCAAATCTAATATTATTGAAGTTAGGCTTACCATCACCAGCTGTCGCAATATCTAGAAACACATACGAGATAAAACACGATTAGATGACATTGTATACGACTGATATACATTACGGATCATCAAGAGAGCCTACCGTCGACATCTAAAGGCTCGATACGGTGTGAGGGAGAGGATGTATTGGTACCAGTTCCTTCTCGTTCAAGCTCCTCCAGGATAAAGGCTGGAACTGCTGACTCTAATTCGATTCCCCGGTGAGCAACCACTGGAACTAACTCCTCCTCTTCAACTGCCACGTCGGTAGGCAAAACATCAGAAAGTGGAGGCAGATCGTTAGCATTACCTGCCTCTAACTGTTCAATCAAAGCTTCTAAAGCTTCTTTATTCTCTTCTGTCTCTGCATCGGTGGCCGATTCAAATGTTGGAAGGGGTTGATGTGAAATTTCTATAGGAGATATGGTTTCTTCAACGACTTCGTGATCCATTGGAACTGCAACAGGTTCAGTAGCTGCGGGTTTAAGAGCCTGAAATTCCGAATGACAAGTTATTAAAATCCTCTTATGAGCTAAATTTGTTGGTCTTTCAGCATTTTACCATTGATTCTTCAATAGGGTCTTCCTTGACGGCAGTACTGGTTGTTGTGAGTGCTACATCTGGCGTTTCTAGACTGCGCAATGCGTAAGAAAGCTCGGGATCTTGTTGGACTAGACTGACATTCTGCATGCTTTGACGTATCACATTATCTTGATCTGCGCTCTTTAAGGCTTGCGCCAAGGCAGTTCCTAGAATGAATAAAATGTATTACTAATAACTAATAAGTAGAATAGTTCAGGATTTAAAATGGGATTTGTCTAAGCACAACATAAATAGCCCACGATCAAATTTCACAAGACCTTTGAGTCTCTTTGATGAATAAAAAACCTAGGCTAAAAAAATTTGACAAAAAACTTTTTTAATAAGCGACAAATACAATAGATGATAGGTAATAGTTTGTTTCACGGCGAATACATGGGATATGAAATCGTACCCAAGACGTGATTGCACGCATTTCAATGGCTAATGGGAATACAGAAGAAGTATTTCATAGTAACCAGTTCATACTTGCATATCAGTAGACCTTGTTATTTAATGTCTACGTTGAGGCGATAGCGCTTACAATGTTCGAGTATAGTCATAGACGTGACGACAGGAGACATGCCAGGGCAGTCCAATGCGGGTCGAATAGAGGGTAAAAGAGGAGACAGTAAAACAATAGTGCCCTCATTAATTAGAATTTTGGATTCAGGTAGCATGAGTTTTAGCTTCATGAGCACAACCCACCGGTTTTCCAGGCTAATTCCTATCCACTAGCTGGACGACTCTAAGTATAACAGAGTTCACTAGAAATGGCTTAATAATAACAATACACCATTTTAATATTGCTGAAACAATATACATTATGCTCATCTTAAATTTTAACTATCAGCTTTCAAGATTTAGAATGATGCTTTCTGAAATAGGTAATTGTACCTAATCCGGTAATCGTAATGCTTCGAGGAAAATCTTGGAATATCTCCCACGCAAAACAAGTTTCTTTACTGATCTTAGGAAAATTTATACATTTACAAAAAATATGTAATTGGTGTAGTAGATTGAGCCCGAGAGTCTGAAATTGGAAAGACTGCGTAGTCATATCATTTAAACAATGCGTTTTGTATAGTGTTAAACTTGGCTGGATACATATGTATATACTAAAAAGATAATCTGTTATCTATCTGTCTGTTGGTTATTAGGAGAGAGGCAATTGAAAATGAAAAAAATAACTTACATGAAACTATAAACAACAACATTCGTTTTCCCAAGCGAGTAAGAATTGGCCAGTCAGAACAAAGATTCTATGCTTATTTAAAAATTGAAGCAGATGAGATATGGAATAGAACCCAATCGCACCTCAGCAGTGGTCAATGCCACAAGGGAAAGGGGTTTGACTGATTCCCCTTTCCTGTGATATTTGCCTAATTGCATGAGTGAAGTACTATCGCTCCATTAGTCACTTAGAATTATTCTTGTTGAATCCTACTTATTAATAGAGATTATGTGAAGCTATTAGCGCTTCAGAAAAGTCTTGCGTAGGATCGTATTCACATGACTTTACACTTAACAAGTTACACATATTTGTACGACCTAAAAGCCAATATCCAAGACTAAAAGAGAAATCCGGTTCCAATTATTATTGAAAAAAAAATATCTAATAAAATTATTGTCAACAAATTTGCCCTCAATATTCTGCACACAACTCATTTTAAGAAAAGGTTAGGCGTTATATTAACAAAATTATAGGAAAATATGATGTTAGTTTCGTCTTGTTCACCTTGGCATAGACAACAAAACATTTCGAGTGTCAGTTGGGATGCTCAGCTGCTGATTTCAAACTCTGCCCTGCTAACAAGCCTCCATTTCAGCTTACCCACCTCATGCATTCACCTAGTACCGTTATCCAGTTGCCATGTGACTCGTTTCTTGCCTTTATGGGGGAAAGGAGGGGGAGTTCATCAAGCTCTGGACGATGGCTACCGAATTCTCTTTGACGTCATTTGATACGCTCTTTTTTAAACCACAATAATGTGTGAAATTATTAGGAAAAGGGTATTTAAGTTCACATCAATTACGTTAGAATCAATGGTTATGACCCTATTACCTACCTCAAGATATACTGAGTTGTATCTAGTACTTTATAAACACATAACTCGTTATACCATACACTTACCAGTTGCGGTGGACCCATTTCGCTCTTGCCAGAGCGTGAGACAAGTGAGGGCCATTTTGTAATCACTTCCCGCCCCACTCTCCCTTATACTACTGATATCCTCTACTGAGAGACCAAGGAAAGGAGCCACACGTGACCAATCCCTTCCCAAATTTTCGGCCACTTTCTTCAAGTCCAATTCTGAACGAGCGATAGAGTCTATCAAACCTATGGAAAAAATGAGGCATGACAATTGTGAAATTGCGCACACACACAAATGCATATGAGGAGGTTAAAGCAACCGCGATGATATCCGATAGAGATTTATTAGAAATTAATTGGCGTGAGGAAGCTTTTAGCCGAACCACTTACGGCATTTGGCATATCGGTGACCAATGGAACCACAGTCTAGCAGACAAGGAATAAGGTTTAAAAGACGACAATAAAAATAATAAATTAGATAATAAGGAATTATGAAGCAAATTTTGACTCCAAATCGGATTTCCATAGGTATGAAATGTAACATGCAGATCCCCAGCTAAACCATTATAGTTTCTGTTTGAATGGCGTCTCTTCCACATCATTCGACGGCATAAATCGCTAGAATTTGGAAGGTAATAGCTTAGGATTTATTGCCCTTAAGACCAAAATTAAATCTGGAAGGTCCTTCAAACAACTCGAACTGATACCTCAAATGGCATTTCAAAATGAAACACTAGAAACTGAAAAAAAGGAACATTCGACTATTTATTTATCAATTAGAATTACCGAATTAATTTGAAGCAATCATCTGATAAAATACAATTAAATAGGCTTCAAAACTCTGCAACCAGCTAATGAGAATGAGAAACATGGCGTAGAACCAAAATCGAGCTAAATGATATATTCATACAAGATGTACTCAATAACAATAACTTTAAATCGCAGGACTTACCATTTTCCTGAGGAATGGCATTAAAGAAGTTGGCCACAGAATCCTTTAGCCTATTCTCATTCGATTCCTGAATCATGCTTGGGGCCATTCGTGGAAGCGTAACATCGAGGACGCAGAGAGGGTTCACAGTACCACCTCTGCAATTAGATAAATTGTTTGAAGGAAACTTTCCAAATGGTAGAAATAGGTGAAAGACCTCTCACTTACCCTGGTTGTCTTCGCTGTGGCATAAATGCCAATTGACCAGTTGGAGGTGAATTAATATCCTTTATGCGTAGTATGGTGTTCAACCGATTCTCCTCAAAAGCCCTCACAGCCGTGAAACGTGGCTGATCCGCCGCTGATGGTGCACCATTCTCCTCAAGTGGTAGCGAAGTGGGAGAAGTGATGCCAGCTACTGGTACCAAATTTCCCGCCGTCTCAACCCATATGCTTCGATTGTGAAGGAATTCAACTAGTCCAGAATCATCCACTACGTCACCACTGCCACCACCACCACTGCGAGCGATGACCTCAAAACCCTCCTGGCATTCAAGGGTCTTTTGTTCGGTGTCGTCGGTGAGACAAACGCAACGAACGTGAGATTCCTCAGGGTGGTGGCGACGTCCATAAACAACAAAACGACCGAGATAGGGTACTGCAATTGCCTCGCGATACACTCGGGTGGCCATCTCAGATACCTCGGAGAGATTTGGACAATCGATGAGCCAGAGTCTGCAATTGAAAGAATAAAGTATAGAGGGCGAATGCTTAATCTGAAGACAAAACAAAAACTAACTGCATATAAAATGAACATTCTATTAATAGGCACTCGTTTTCAGCGCACGAAAACCTTATTTGCCTTTTTTAAACAACTGCGCTTGTTGAGCTTGCTGCGATCCTTCAAATTATATCAGAAAGGTGCGGTTTTAACCCATCTCTGGGATAGTGGTCATTCACAGATTCGCTTGTTAATAGCTCGTGTCAGGAGTTACGCATTTCTCACCGAATGATTTACACTTTCATCAGTTTGAGTATCCCCGATCATATAGGCCGTAAGCGGTGCAAAAAATTCACTGAGGGAAAAATTCTACCCTACAACACAACGCATCTTCCTCATTGACCAAATAGGACCCTATTTACTAAATGAATTTTTGATTCCATTAAAAATTAAATGATACAAGTAATGACCGGAGCTTAGAGATTTCGAAGGAGTACAATAATTAGCAGCGACAAGCTATTCACCGTAGAGCATGGTATGGTTGCCCACAACTACACAAAGTTGCGCTAATATGTCAACCAAAATCCAAGTGGTAGTAGAGGATGGGGGGGGATAATCAAATGTGTTCTATTGGGTCACTGTAGAATAGGTCCGTTTCATATAATAAGGAGGCG